TTAAAACAATTCTGCAAAGAAGAGCGGGCCAAAATTCCTCCATAGCGATGTGAAAGACTCATTGCCAGTTATCCAAAACGCTTGATTGCAGTTGTTACTGCCAAAGGGTGGCACAACTTGTTTTTAGGTTTAGGGGGCAATTACTTTTTCACATAGGGCCAGGTAGGTTTGGATATTTTTTTTCCCCTTAATAAATAAAATCATCATTTAAAAACTGCATTTTGTATTTACTCGGGTTATCTTTGTCTAATATTAAAATTTGTTTGATGATCTGAAACATTTAAGTGTGACAAATATGCAAAAAAAGAAGAAATCAGAAAGGGGGCAAATACTTTTTCACAGCTCTGTATATGATACTCTAATGACAGCTGAAGCTAATATGTGTATGAGTTTGAGTTGGAAGTCAAGTGGGTATCTTCCAAAGTCATGTCCACAGCGAGTGATTCCTGGCTGAGCTGCAGTGGTTTTTAGAGACCATTTTTTTTGACCATTGAAGAAACTACAGTTTGGCTTTTGAATTATGGCAGGTCACCAAATGTAATTTGTAATGTGTTTATGTGAACTATATTTTATATCAGACTTTATCAGGCTAAATATGTGGCTATGTGGCTTGTCACTACAGCTTGTGATGTTATCAGAGTGCTGCTTTTTGTATCTGCATGTGTAATGTGTGTACAAGCTGGAAAATGGGGTTTAGGGCTGTTATCTAAATAAAATCTAAATCCATATAAATCCAACCATTTTAGTTGATTCACCTCAAACCAAAGAAAAACAAATCTCTCTTCGAAATTTTCTACAGAGCGTTTAAATGTGCCTCAGGTGTGATTGGATGTTCGGCTGCAAGAGCTAGGAAATCTTGTTTTTTCTACCTACGAGTCAAACTTAAACATTAACATGGAATTGTGGGACGCAGACACGTGGTGTCACTTTTTATTGGAAAGTGAAAATCAACCCATATGGACGTGTGTAGATTATGGGTCTTTAAATGAGTCCTCCTGTCCTATCTTTCAGTCTATCTTCAATCTGAAACTGTCCTTACTTGCTCTGCAAGCAGAATTCTGCAGCTAAATACTAACTATAATTCTATGGACAAGGCACTTGACCAAGAGGGAAAAAAAACAAAATTTCCCCAAAACAGAGAGAAAAAGATGCATTGCATTCTAAATATGTCATGGGGAAGAAGGGGCTTGATATGACTATTTTTAAAGACCGAGTTTAGGAAAGGAAACAAGGGCCAGGCGAATGTAAAGGGTTTTTGTATTTTTCATGTTTATTCTTTTCTAGGTCAGTTTCCCAAAAGCAGGACTTCCAGGACTTGTCCCACAGACAAGCTCAATCCGTCAGCCAGAGATGGTGAAGGGAGTGCTGTTGTGATTGTTGTGATGAAATACTAAAACTCCAACACACAGTGAGGAAGCTTTTCTGCTGTCATAAATGTAAGATGGGGAACATGAAAAAGCCAAAAACCCAAACACGTTCAAATATTCACAA